TCTTGCTTTCTTTCAGCAGGAAGGTGCCACACAGTATGTTGTAATAGTCCTCAACTTACAACCAATGGTGAGTTGCTACAGGTTTGCCCCGGACCGGGCGAACCGGTAGCGGCGGTGGCGGGAGGCTCTGCCCACCGCCTGGACATCTCTGTGCATGCGCAGAAGTGTCGCGCACATGCATGAGCACCCATGCACCCACAAACGAACTGGTAGCGGCCGAAATTGAAACCCACTACTGCTTACAACAGTTTGTTTAGTGACTGTTCAAAGTTACAGCACTGAAAAATGTGATTTATGACCATTTTTCAAACTTAAGACCATTGGACATCCCTGTGGTCACATGATCAAAATTCAGCTGCTTGGCATCTGACTGACATTTATAACCGTTGCAGTTGTCCCGGGGTCACGTGATCACCCTTTGCAACCTTCTGACAAGCAAGTCAATGGGGAAGCCAGATTCAATTAACAAATGTGTTACTAATGAACAACTGCAGTGATTCACTTAACAACTGTAGCAAGAAAGGTTGTAAAATGGGGCAAAACTCCCCATGTTTTAACAAATGTCTCACTTAACAACAGAAATTTGGAGCTCAGTTGTGGTCATAAGTTGAGAACTACCTGTACACTTTATTCCACCCACTTCTAAATATTTAGGTGATATTCTATAACTATGAGATTGTAACTTTCAGTGATAGTTTCAAAAATCTCTAAGGTGCTTTCTTCCTTCCTTCATCTTATGAAGTTCCTTCATAAGGAACTTCATAAGATGTTCCTTCCTTGACATCATAAAGCTTTCCAATATGGTAGTTTCCAGATATACTGGCCTGATAATTTCCAATTAAATGTGCCAGCATCCATTGTAGAACTAATCCAATTCTGTATTCTTACAAAAGATTTAATCTCTTTTTTAAAAAAGATTTTAATCCTTTCTGATATCCCCCCAAAATTATTTTTAAACTTATAATATTAAAAATAAGTTTAAAAATAATTTTTCTTTTGGACTGGAAAAGACCGGAAAATATTTTTGTAAAATCAAATTCCTGAGTCACAAATGAAATCTAATCTTTAATCAGGCACAACCATCAAAGCCATTTCATGCTTCCAACATCAACTGGTTTTGAAATAAGTGCTTTTAAGTCTCAAATGACTATCACTGTGTGACTTGCAATAAAAAATCTGCCTATGGTGTTCAGCCATGTTACGGTGAAATAGATCAGCTTACAAAACATCTAGGCATCTCACAGTACCTAAGCCAAGCCAATTGAATTGCTTCCAGGATTTTTCCTTTCCAGTCCTCCGTTCCCAACATGCCCATTAGCTGTTTTATTTTCTCAACTGTTTCACATCCTCATGTAGAAGGAAACCTAAACATTTCTTTAGGGCAGGGCCACACCTATTTTCATTGTCACCTCCTCCCCACCTCTTCAGCAGTGAAGCCCTAGTTGCCTAATCAAAATAACTTCCTGAAAATTCAAATGCAGCTGCACGCCAGGAAAACAAGACAAATGAACATGCAACAGCTGAACAAGTTTGCATAAATGGCTTAGTTTTCAAACAGGAATAATTTTCAACTTTTTTTTCTGCTTTAGTATGGGTAGCCTTGATGAACATTTGCTTCCTAGGTGGCCTATTTCAAGGGAACGCACGGAATAAAAATAAACAAAAAAAATTGTGCAACTCTCCACAAAAACGTATTATCAAAATTTAAGTATAAAAATTATTTGCTGGAGCAATGTGTGTATTCAGAATTCAGATGCATATGCAGTTTTGTACGATTGGAATATAAGATGTGTTTAATATGCATGCATTCAATCAAATAATTGATAACCTGTTATTCCCTTGAGTACACCAAAGTGCTATGATGTTGTTGTTGTTAGTTGCGAAGTTGCGATCCCATGGACAACATTCCTCCAGGCCTTCCTGTCCTCTACCATCCTTTAGAGCAGTATTTCTCAACCTTGGTAGCTTGAAGATGGGTGGACTTCAACTCCCAGAATCCCCCAGCCAGCAGCGCTGGGAGATTCTGGGAGATTCTGGGAGTTGAAGTCCACCCATCTTCAAGCTTCCAAGGTTGAGAAACACTGCTCTAGAGTCCATTTAAGCTCACACCTACTGCTTCAGTGACTCCTATAAACTGCTATACATCCTATTATTATTATGCTTGTATTCTTCAACAGTGCCATACTGTTAAATCTTTGTCTTTTAATTTAGAATACTTGTTTTTAAATTATACTAGCAATTATACTACTATTAAATTATACTGTTGTTTTTTCTTGAGTTCCAGCATTTACACTCTAGTGCTGCCAGTTCTCTCCTCCAAGCTAAAATAGTATTCAACTAAATCTGAAATAGGATCTTCCATGCAGACTTCATGTTTCCTGCAGTCAGGAATTTTCAGGGCATTTTATAAAATCTGAATTTCCTTTCTTTCTGGACAGGTAGTCCTCAATTTACAAGAGCTTGTTTAGTGACTGTTCAAAGTTACAACGGCACTGAAAAAAGTGATATGATCAGTTTTCACTCTTACAACCATTGTAGCATCCTTATGGACATGTGATCAAAATTCAGACACTTGGCAATTGAGTCATATTTATGACACCTTCAGTGTTCCGTGGTCACGTGATCCCCTTTTGCGACCTTCTGATAAGTCAATGGGGAAGCCAGATTCATTTAACAACAATTTGACTAACTTAACAACTGTTCTGTCCCAGCTACGGACCCCAAAGAATGCAGCACATACAAAATCTATACAAAGCTTATTTTACTCAAATAACTCAGTCTTTATCAACCAAAGGCTGTTAATAAACTGTCTTAACAGCCTACCAGAATTCTAAGATAAGGTAATCACAGTCTTACTAGAGTTGGCAGAAAGCCCAGAAGCAATTTTGCATAGAATCCAGACACGGAGGAGAGTGAACTAAAGTTGTTCCCTACAGCTTGCTGCAAGCGGCGTTCCTCCTTAAATAGGCTAAGGGAGTGGCCAATTAGCCCCAAGCCTTACTCTCGAGGAGACCTCCTCCTTGTCACTGCGTTTTTGTATTTACTAGATGAGCTCTTATCTTTGGACTTTCAGACTTACTGTAGCTTGCCAAGTTCTTATCTCTAAGCTAACTGCGCATGTCCACATTCTTTTCACTTTCTCTAAAACTTTCTTTGTTCTCCGGCCAGGACAGGTGGCCGGGAAAGCTTTGCCAAGATGTAATTAATTAGCTAGTAAGATGTTTTATTTTTCTTTATAACAAATGAGTTTTTCTTAGAAAATATATCTTCGGGTTTATTTTCTTAAAGTATACTTCAAGGAAAAGGTCACGATCCATTCTCTAATCAAGGTGCAATTACCCAAAAGCAGAATGGGATTAATTGCCACCCTGACACTCCTGAGAAGCCACTCCTGCCTTTTGGCAGCTCTGCGCGCTCCTCTTCGTCCTCTTCACTTAAGGGAGCTTCTGGAGGTTCTGAAGACCCTGGCTGAATCCCTGCCTCTGGCACCACATCTTCTCCAGCCTCCTCATTGTCCGACTCGAGCGCCAGCTGCACAGGCTGCTGGCGCAGCACCACACCAGCTGTCGGAATCAGCTACAATCCGCACAGGCCACTGACGGGCCACAATAACTATGGTGATTGACTTAACAACTGTGGAAGAAAGATTGGAAAATGGGGCAAACTTGCTTAACAAATGTTTCAGAAACAGAAACATAGGAACAGTAATTTTGGGCTCAATAATGATCGTAAATGGAGGACTACCTGTACTCTGTTTTTTCTTTTCATTTTCAAAATTTCTACTTACATGATTTATTTCTTGGAACTCCATTATAGGTTGCAACTGAGAAAAAAAATAGTCAAAGATATGTATGTTAGGAGGAAGGATTTTGTTTAGTCTTAAGTGTTAATGAATTATTTTCGATTCATGTATTTTTGTGACATGGTATTAAAGTTCTAGCAACCTTAACATTGTATAAAACTGTACTTTTGTATTGTCTATTTTTTTCTTTAAATTTTCTGAGATGACAGAGGCTTACTCTGAAAGATTTAAAATCCTATCATTATGCATGGATATTGAATTAAAGACTGATTGATGAATGCAAGTACAGAAAAGCTGTATACAATCAACGTAAAACATGGTTGAAAATAAATGGAATGTTAGTAAATAGTACAAGTAGACAGTAAGACAAAAGTGTATGATGTTCCCTTGGTTGTTTTACACAGAAATAAGTAATTCATGCTGGAGTTACATTAGAAGTATGGATGTGCTGATTGGGCCATGACAGGGTTTACTGTACAGTTTTGTAGGCAAAGGATGCTATGTTTGTGGCTGAGAACCCAAATGATTCGCAATGAGTGTTAAGTAATAAGCTGTATGATAAAATACAAATATGAACGACTCAAATGACAAAATTAACTGAAGTTTGGGTTAGGGTTAGGTTTGGTTTCACAGAGGATATAGAGGATAAATAGGATAAAATTGCAAAACAAATATAAGAGTGAATGGGGTAAGGAAAGTTGAAAGTTGAAAACTTCCTTGAAAACTCAGTACAAACTTAAAGAAAAACAAATACCATAAGTGTATGTACACAGTGAAATCAAATCTGATTTGAAAGACTGAAAAGTGTATGAAGGTGCTGATGTAAATTCCAATTAGTTGTATTTTCTCATATATTCTCCCTTTGAGTTATTTTGCGTACTTATTATTATTATTATTATTTGCAGTTTGCATGGCATTGCTTTCCCCAAAGGAAAGAGCATTATGGGTACAGAGGACAAGATGTTCATCTGCTCTTTGTCTACAGCATAGTCAATCAGTCTAAATCAGACTATTTTCTGACCTTGAATGAATAAGACCACATTATAGTTCTTTTCAATACCACGTTCAATTCTTGTTTTTTAAAAAAATCTCTTTTGGCAAATGTTGACTTCCTTCATTACTAGGAAATGAATCAGTTGAAGATTTCCCAGTAGAATATTAATTCACTAATTAGTTATTGGAAAAAAATCATTGCATATATTTTCTCGAGGTCCAATTTTTTACTTTAAACCGATCAGAAATAAAAAAAAATCAAAATGTGCTCCACCCGTTACATTTCATGTCACTATATGAACATATAGGGAAAGTTCAGACACTTCTAAATTTCTTAAGTAGGAAGTGACATTTTTCCTCCCTTTGTTCTTCAGGTTTCCTGCAGATTGCAATAAAATATAGGATATTTTCAAGACAGGAATACATGTAGATTTGATTGGCTTGAACTAATGGAATATATCTAGAAGTTATTTTGAAAAAAAGATCTGCATAGTGACCTTAGCTGTATCAGCCTTACCTTTTATGCTCCAAAACAGGTTCTTCTTAGTGCAAATATATGTAAAGCTGGTTTTTAACATACACTCTCATTTTCAAGCAATTATAAACAGTTCAGAGATAAAATAAATAGAATAAACTGTAGGCAAGCATTCAAAATATGCCATACTAAAAACTGTTTTAAGGTATTTTAAATAATTATTTATATAGCTTTGTAATAATTAATATATTACATTGCAGATGATCCTTCACAGAAGGTAGTTTAAGAAAAGAGGTGCATGTTATCCAAAACAAATGCACTGCTGTTCATTGATATAGAATGGGCTGAAGCTTCTAGTAGGAGATGCTTCCAAGCCACTGTTCAACCAGATTTCTTGCATGATCTGTTCTCGCCGCTCTATCCTTTCAGCCAATTCGGCTGCATCCAGGGGACAATAAACTGAATATGAAGTCCTGCATAAGCCTGTTAGTTCATCAGTAAAATCTGAATCAGAAGATTCCCCTCTCTCTTCCTCTTCTTCTTCCTCCTCCTCCTCCTCCTCCTCATTTCCATCAGCCTTCTGATTTTCTAGCACCAGATGCTTTTTCATCCTCCGTAGTTTTATCATATCATCGCAGCAAGAAATGTGCATTACCAGAGCACAAAGTGTGAGCATTAGGCCAACGCAAACACTAGACACAAACAAGAGAGCAGCTCTTTCAAGGTGATCTGAAATTAGAAACAAAATCCCAGACTAGAGCCTTATGTAGAGATTGATGGGAATAATAATAATTTGCTGTCATTTCTGAAAAGCCTAGACTTCTGAGACAATCTTAATATCTAAATCTACATAATCCATCAGAGCTTGCTAACATGTTTCTGGCCAGCAATATGGAAATGAAAATAAAGTACAATACCAAAATTAAGAAAACTCTTAAGTGAAATATGATGTTAGGTGATATAAGTGATGGATCCAGTGGTGAAATCCAAATGTTTTTACTACCGGTTCTGTGGGCGTGGCTTGGAGGGCGTGGCAGGGGAAGGATATTGCAAAATCTCCATTCCCACCCCACTCTGGGACCAGAGGTGGTATTTGTTGGTTCTCCGAACTATTCAAAATTTCTGCTACCGGTTCTCCAGAACCTGTCAGAACCTGCTGGATTTCACACCTGGATGGATCTATACAGTTTCTTGCAAAAATATGAAAGTAGTTTACTATTATCTTCTTCTGAGATTCCAGTTTTCTTGCCTACAATTCTGGATGTCCTAACACAGGGGTGTCAAACTGGATTTCTTCAAGGGCTGGATCAGCATTGTAGCTCTCTGTGTGTCAGCCGGGGGGGGGGGGAGACGGGGCCATGAAGCACCCTGCTGGCAAAACGGGCTATGGGGGGATTGTGTGCAGGCCACTTGCTCCCTGTTTCTGGTCTGGATGGCCTTCTGCAGCACTTTGCTGGCCAAAACGTGCCTCAGAGGGACACATTTTGACTGACAGGGTGCTGCAGGAGGCCATGCAGGCCAAAAACAGGGCCCGGGGCTGTGCTCCCCCCCTGAACACCAATTTGGCTGTCAGAGGCACTGCAGGCAAGTCCCATGGGCTAGATTTAAGCACCCCATGGGCCGGATTCGGCCTGCAGGCATTGAGCTAGGGCCCTGTCCTAACAGATCCATTTCCCCCCATTTTTCAAGATCAGCAAAATGCTATTATTTAGCTCAGCCTGTAGCTACCAGTACCAGAGAAAATGTGAATGATCTCTTTAAGGATTTTTCCTCCATGGAGTTAATTAATTCAAAATAATACTTTAAACACATGTTAATTAGGATATTGTTCGCAAAAGGATATACCATAATAAATCAAGGAAGTTTTAAATGCTGCAAATATTATGTGTATTTAATATTTTATACTAATTCTGGAAAATGTAACTGCTAGCATTAACAGGATTTCTTATCAGAACACAAGAATATAAAGTAAAGAGGTCTACCTCTAATGTATGCAAATGTAGCCAAACTGCTGCTAATTATAATTCCTTCGTTCTTTGGAATTCTTGATTCTTTTGGATCAAAATTTACATCTGTGAGAAAGAAAAGAGGTTCCTAAATTAGATTGTAGTTGAATTAACTTTCCAAACTGAAAAGGAATGTGTATTTGTTAAATAAATAATTTAAATGTCCTACCACAAGCAATTACCTTCTTTAATGTCTCCATATTTCCATGTTGTTTAATAACACATTTTATGCATTAAAGCAAAATTAATTTTAAATTTCTATTTTACTTTATTATATAACACAACTCATAAATACATGAGAATGTCCTTTAAGATAATACGTTTGTTTCCTGTTTTTCCTAGGAATTTTTTAGCACTGTTGATATCAGGAAATTAATAAGAGGTTTCTTCCCACAAAACATGTTCTAAGCCAGGGGTTCCCCAGGCCATGACCCAGAATTGGGCCACGTGTGTGGCTGGCCAGAGCGCACATGCGCAAGGGCTGCATGCATGAGCACACCAGCCCACCACTCAAGCAAGCACTGCATGCATGTGTGCACATGCCAGCCCACTGCTTGCATGGCCCAGTTCCCCTCTTCTCTCTCCTTGCCAGGCCGCCAAGCCACAAAGGTTGGGGATTGCTGTTCTAAACTATGATTCCCAGCAGCTAGATATGAGAAGAATTACTTCAACTTAATAATTAAGTGATGACTATTTTATTTATTCATAAGTTCTGCAATAAAGTTTTGTTCATGTGATAAGCAACAAAGTCAATGAAGTCAGTTTAGTCTTTAGTTAGTTTAGATTCAACTTCTACTTGTCTCTGTCCATTTCTTTGTCTTCGCCTCATTACTTTTTGTGTGTGTTGTTTTTGCTACACCATTCAAAATGAATTGAACATTGGCTCATCCAAAGTTCCATGAAGAGAGACCCCTCCTCTTCTAGATCATTAAACGCTTAAAGGCAAATGTCCATAGCAAACCATTAAATTTACCATATTCATCTTCTTTTGGCTTCCAAGAGGGAGGGAGTATGGTAACCATTGGATTAACTGCTGCCAATATGAATCTTGGGACTGTAAAGTTGAAAATAAAAAAATGTTATGTGTTGATTTTAAAATATATATCCTTCTCTTTCTATAGACAAAACTGGAAAGTTTGCTAGCAGCTTTTTTTTTTCACACTTCACATTTTAGAAGTCAGTCAATCAAGAATATTTATAAAGAGAAGTCAATTTCTATACAAATATGTCACTTGTTGAATTGATGGCTTTTATGCATTGCATTGTTGCTTCACCGCCAGTCATAAACTAACTGAAAATATATGAAAGTTCAATAATCAACAGGCCAAACTCCACAAGGCCTTTCAAATATTACCTGACTAATTTCAAAGCTATGATCATCCAAGAAGAATCTGGATTAGTCCAAGAAACATAATTAGATTTTTGCCAATGTGTTTCCTAGTCAAAATGTATAAATTGTAAACAAAATTATTATCATACCTATCTTACATATTAAAATATGGGAATAATATGAATTTTCCATATATATGCACAATGCCCAGGTTTTGAAATGTTGCGATTTGTGAAATTATTGATTTCCATACTTTTCTTACCACATGCATAGCTGACATTGAGGTATTTTTTCACCCCAGGCATGCATGGTCTTCCAAAGTTATGACTGTTAGCAATAATTTTACACCTTTGCTTTCCGTAGCATTTCTTCGACAAGACTTCTAAAGCTGAATAGGAAAAACAATCTGAAAGGAGAAAGAAATATTTATTTATTTATTTAATTAATTAATTAATTAATTTGATTTATATGCCGCCCTTCTCCGGAGACTCAGGGAGGCTTACAATGCGTTAAGCAATAGCCTTCATTCTATTGTATATTTATACAAAGTCACCTATATGCACATATAAACAAAAATGATTTATCTGAAGAGATTACTGGTACCTGCTTGCAGAGATATAAATCTATTGGTACAGGAACAATACTAACTCAGAAAGCCCAACTAAATATAGATATTGCTTCTGATAATAGTATGGTATAGCCTTTATTGTCATTGTACATCATGTATACAACAAAATTGATTAATTTTTTAAAATTGATAAAGGGCAGTGATGGCAAGGAAGAAGTGATCATTTACATTATTTCTAAGAATTTGTGGTTGGCTCTATGCAGTGATGATATAAGAATGTATGATCAAGCCAATTATGTGACCCCACCCAGCACATTGGAGAGACAAGTAAGAAGAGATTTTGCTGTGGACTGAATGCACAGACTGAGTTAGGGTAAACCAGTTCAGGACAGCTAAACTTAATTATTAAATACAACAGTCCCTGTCAAGTATTTGCAAGCCATTGGCACATGTGTCATATAGACACCAGTGGAGGCAGAGAGTGTCTCCACCCCTATGTGGAAAGGAGGGGCTTACCCTGAGTATAAAACCCCCTCCAACCTTTTCCACCTTGCTCTCTCCATCTCTCTCTCTCACTTCTTGTGTTTGTTCTTCATGAGACTTGATCTCAGTTGTACATAGTTAATATGCTTTATCATATGAATAAATACGTTTAAGACATTTATTTATGCATCTGCCTCTGAACTCTTCTATGCTCCTGGGTGTTTCTACGATCCCAATTCCACGGTCCCAATGTAGCCAACTAATAGAACTGTGGCAAAAAACAAAACCAAAAAAATCCCAACACCCCAGGGTCAGTCTTAGAGTCAGAAGAAGGATTTATATGTGCTCTGGAGCAAATACAGCATGTCTGATTTAGAATCATCTAATTTACGAACAGAACCATTGTACCTTGGAGTTTTCATTTAAAATGCAGATTAAAATTCTAGACATTTTCCTAAAATAAAATAGAATTAATATATTATTCTAATTAATTTAAAATGAAAATATATTTCATTATTGATATGTACATATACATGTGCACGTACATATGCATTTACATATATACATATACATATTTTACTGTTTATTGCTAGAGAAAAAATACTGATGGATTCTCTATTATTTTTGCTTTAGATCTTTGTAAGTATCAATGTAAGCATTAATGCAACATGTGCCAGTAATTTACTTTAATTAATAAAAGGGAAAAATGCTTTCAGATATGTGACAATGACACCCCTCTCCTTCTGCTTCACATAAATAAATACACAGAATTACCAAACTGAAATTGAGGTTTTGCTCTGGAAGACTATTTGAGGAATAGCTTGGAAAAGATATAAATAGTTATTTCAAAGCAAGGAGATAAAACCTTAAAGTTGGATGCATGTAGATGTGCACTATTGATTCAGCTGATACTTACAAGGACATGACCAGACTGCAAATATGTTGGGATACTTCCACACTGTCCTGAAAATGCAAACTATCTCCCTTTTATGCATCTTAAAATGTTGGATTTCTCTGCCTGAAATGAGTAGGCTGCATGTCATTTAGATGAAATACTCTTTGTTAAAATTGTGATTTCTAATATAATCAATAGTATATCCAAATGCAGTGAATGGATTTAGGATAAGAAAGGATCAAAGAAAAATCAAAGCAGTCCCATTTAAGTTGCAGATAAAGGACGGGAATTAAAAGCAAAAACAAAACAAAACCCTGTGTTTCATTATCACCTCTGAAGGAAAAATACAGTTCATTCTAAACCCTTGCAATCCTTGCCCATCTTTTGCAGTTAGTGGTTAGCAACCAGACAGGTGCCAAATAATGCTGATAGTTTGTATTTGGTGCACATATATCCAGCTGGAAATGAAAAGAAGCAGCCATCAAAGCAGTTCTGAAACTAGTGGTAAAACATCAGCCCTGGTCTGAGCTGCTATTTAATCGTCCAGCATCTGTTGTTTTCAAGGGAAAGATCCTTTAAGTCACCAATTAGCTGGGTTTTAGCTGGGTTTTGACATGCAAATTATGCAGAGTTGTTGAAGCCATAAATTGCCCAAAGTTTAATAAAACTGACAAGTCGTCTTTTCTCTATTGAAAGCCTCTTCTATTTTCAAGTTCTGGTGTCTCTTCGCTACTACACAAAAGCTATCTATTCAATGGAATAACTACAGCCAATTATAGTGAAATTAAGGCTCCTTGGCACTCCAATGTGTATATTAGTGAGCGTATAATACTGGAAGGATATGTGTCGGAAAGAAATATGATCTCAATTATGTTTAGTAAACAGCAGAGTATTAATCAAAGTTCTAAATACTGTGGGGTGGGAACAAGAAGGGTAGGAATGTGGTGTGTAGATTCTGGTGCAGATTCCCTTCTGCTCTTATTCAGAGCAATTTGCTTTGGGAGTTAATTTCTAGGACTAGCAATGGCTTCAGGGAAATTATTTTTAATTGGAATCACAACAATGGGAAGAGGTAACACCATCCTCTGCATGCTAATAGAGATTATTCTGTTCCGCTAAATATATTATGTATATTAGAAACAATACATGATACCACATATTTGTTACATATGATTTCACCATGAATGTAATCCTTTCATTACATTATGTATTGTACAACCTTTTCCCACGCATGCTAACTACAGTAGTGGCCAAAATTGTGGAAACCTTTTGGAAAAAGTGTATTTTTGAGGTTTGATGGCTAATAACACCACTTTTTTTTTTTTTTTTGGAGTTTCAAGATAATCATATTCCATTGCTGGAATAGCCCAGACCTTAACCCAACTGAAAATCTATGGAGCCGACTAAAGAAACTTGTTAGTCAGAAGTGACGTAGCAATAAAACCCAGTTAATAGAAGCAATCATTCAATCTTGGTTTCACATTATAAAAGCTGCAGAACTAAAAGACTTGGTTCACTCCATGGGAAGACGTTGTAAGGCCATAATTCATGCTAAAGGTTACCCAACTAAGTATTAACTGACGTGATAATTTTTGTATATCTTGCTTTTTCTATGGTGATAATTTTTGTATATCTCATTTTTTCTACGTGTTTCACTTTTCTTCTTTATACTGTAACTGCTATTCTAATAGCAAATCCTTCATAAAAGTTATTGCATGACATTCTTCATTAAATTATCTTTCTATTGATATATAATTTTATGGTACTATTCCAAAAAAGAGGTGGTGTTATTAGCTAATTTTAGAAAACACACTTTTCCCAAAAGGTTTCCACAATTTTGGCCACTACTGTAGAGTATGTTTTAGAACCATAAATTAACCTAAATTTTTATCCAGACTCTTTCAGGTAAATTTACCTTGGGTAATATATTGTCTTTCAACTGATATATTGCCTATTAATTTATTAGGAATCTGAAGGCAAAAAATTAGTTTGAAATTACACTAAGGGCTAAGCTTGAATTGGCTAAACTTCCTAGTTTAACCAATTCAAAATACTGGGCAGATTAATAAGTATAGTGGACCAGTTATTTAAATAAATCATTAAGTTAAAGTAATCAAATTACAATTTGTATTGTCCTTCTTTGTGCTAACATGGAATTCCATTATTATTTTTAATCATGTTTAAAGAGATACGCTTGTATTACTTGTGTCAACTTGATCAATTCACCAGTGCATTGAGTATACTCAAGTCTTATAATCTTTCTTCGAATTTGATGTGATCATCCTAGCCCTAACCAAAAAAAAAAAGACAAGGAATGTATGGCTCTCTTTGGCCAAAAGGATCTCCCTGATCAGCAAAAGCAAAGAGACATGGTATGCTTGCTTACCTCCTTATACAGGAGTTTATACTGAATTTATGACCAGCATTTGCAGCCAAACTCAGAAACCAGTGTTGTCACTTCCACACTGTCAGCCAAATCTTTCCATTTTAGAGGGGGATTTGAAGGAAAGATTAGTAAGAAAGCGAGCATTGTTATTCTTTACAATATAATTCCAAGTCTATTGTTTATTTCTTAGTTCTCTTTATATTCCACCTTGTTCTTCAGTAACTTGTTCTTCAGTCCTTCAGTTTCCAGAGATTTTTCAATTTAGTTTTTTAGTTTTTGATGGGGTTGTGCTATCCCAGGTAGAATTTATCTATAAAGTACAAATCTTCCTGGACCCTTAGTTCTTGCTCAGTGAACAGGTGGCAACCATAGTCAGGAGGGTCTTCATCCAGATACATTTAATGTGCTAATTATCACCTGTTCTGGACCAGAAAGTTGTTCTCATAGTCACTGATGACTTAATTATTCTCATTTGGACTACTGTAATGTGCTGCCCGTGCCTCTACCCTTGAAGGCTACAGCTGGTCCAAAATGAAATAGTGTAAGTGGCTATGGGCACATCCTGTTTTGCTCAACGTATGACCACAATTGAGCCCAAAATTTATGTTCCAAAGTGAGGAATTTGTTAAGTGAGCTTTGCCCCATTTTATGACTTTTCTCGCCACATTTGTTAAGCGAATCAATGCAATTGTTAAACTAGTAACACAGTTGTTAAGTGAATTTGGTTTCCCCAATACTTTGCTTGTTAGAAGGTTGCAAAAAGATAATTGCATGACCCCAGGACACTGAAAACATCATAAATGTGAGTCAGTTGTGAAGCATCCAAATCATGTGACCATGGGGATGCTGCAACGGTCATGTGAATTTTTTTTAGTGCAGTTATAACTTTGAATGATCACTAAGTGAACTGTTGTAAATTGAGGACTACCTGTATAGATTTGAATATGTGGTTCAACTGAAATCTCACTAAGGCAACCATGCTTTGTTCGGTTTATTTCTTTATGGGTGAGCACTGAGTTGCATCCTGGAATTCTTTCCAATGGGATTTCTTGACATAAAGGTTTTAATATTTTAATTGGCTAGCCTTTACAATTCTTTGTTTTCCCCTCCTCTGATTCTTTTCTTTTTCCTCAGTAATAGATATTTGGTATTTTGTCCAATAGTTATTACGTCCTGTGACTAAGATCAAGAGAAATCTATATAAGCTATTTAAAAATACAAATATTTTATGTAAAAATAAGGTGAAAAAAAATCCTTGGGTAAGCAACATTTTAAAAACCAGCAGGAAAAGGACAGTTCAAAGCATGTAAGCTGCAGTGAGAAAGATTTTTTTTGCAAGGCAGAGACCCATCTGACTTTCACACACAATGAAGCTCTCTTTGAAGATCTTGATCTACTTGTAAGTCATTGCTTGATACAATATATACCTGGAAGTTATATCCAGGTATATATTCAGGTCAATCTGAACAATCAGGTCATAGTAATCAATACATACTTAACATCTACTATTAATTTAGAACTATTTCCATTTAATCATTTTTGACCATTTATGCCATTCAGTAACACAGAAGCAGAGTGAAAGGAATGCATGAAAAAAGCAACATGATTATAAGGAAGCCATCATTGACTTTCCCAGGTAAATTTCATGTCATACCCACACAGTTGCTCAATTCCAAGAATTCTGAATTGGGAAACAACTACAAGCATTCAATTCCCATGCTAATGGGAGTCAGGAAAGGCAAATTGTTTTTTTCCTACGGGATAAAAACAAACATTATAACCTTTAAATTCTAGAATAAAGAGTTCTCACTTAAACTTTGTCAGCCTACCATATTGGGGAAGGTAATCCATTTTTGTTGAACAGAAGTCCATCTCGTGGGCAGACCTGCCATAAGAGGCTGAATAGATGTTAAGAAATTTTGATTCATGGCAGTGTAGTTTCAGTTCTTCATTTTCACACACTGATCTAGTTTTATATTCACCTGAAAGAGAAAAGGACAAAAAAGCAACAGTGAGAGATAACTGGACTCTTAGATAAGTGAAAAAAATATTATGTGCAGGTCCTGTTGCTACTTATGTACACAGAGATTAGTGTGGAGATAAATGGTGAACATCACATACAGTGTTTCCCCGAAAATAAGACCCTGTCTTAATTTTTTTGAACCCTGAAATAAGCACTTGGCCTTACTTTCGGGGAGGTCTTATTGTTTTGGGGTGCATGGAGGAAACCAGAGGAAATGGCAGGGACCAGCTGCTCATGTGTTTAAATATTTTCGGGGAGGGCTTATTTTCAGGGGAAGGCTTATTTTATGCTCTCAATCAGGCTTATTATCAGGGGATGTCTTATTTTAGGGGAAAGAGGGTACTTACTGAGAGATCCAACAAAGACATAGTTCTAAATTGGGGTTTATTAACTCATATGATTTAGTCTGGTGATTACTGTATTGACATCTTTTTTGGAACAATATTTTAATGTATATATAGATTTATAGAGACATTTCTTAATGTTAAATATTTTAATGTTGAATTATATTAACATGTGGAATTTTATAATTTTTGAGATATTTATTACAGGATTGGAGTGTCAGGAATTGCTAGGTAAATTATTGTGAGAAATTGGAAAAGTACTATCGTTTTAGGTATAAGGGACTGCAATACACCTGTCAGATATCCATTATTGAAAATAGTCTTTTTTACCATTCCAAGAAATGACACAATACATTTCCCTTTGGTACAGATTTCATAACTTACTAAAAATATTTCTAATTTGAAATATTCATAAATAGGTGTTGCAGGTACTTGTTTCATAGGTAGCCTCAATAGGCATTTTATAGGTAGGTATTTATTATATATGTTATATCTAGACTGTTCATAATTTGTTTGAATTTTGCTTGTTATTATTTGCCACTAATATTTTTTTTAGTTTTATTTTTGTAGTTAGTTGGATGCTTTGTATTTTTCAAAAGTTGCTATACAGTCAATTAAAAAAAGTTATTAGCTATAGAAAAAAGGGACTACTCATAGTATTTGTGGCAGAATTATACACAGAATGCTCAATAAAATATTTTTGATACAGAAGCTGTGATCAGTAGACTAAATTTTAGGTAGTTCTCATTCTATGCACTTTTGTATTCTATTTTTCTTAACTAGACCCAAAATGTTACCCAAAATGTTACAGAACTCCATGTATCACTGTCAATTAGTTAATTTCAGAGGGAAAAAAAGTATTTTTATTCTGTACCACTGAGCACTACTGGGCACCATACACAGCACTACTTTTCTCTGGTAAAAAGATAGAATGGAAAATCAAAAAAGATTAAAACCAGAGGTGGTATTCAGCAGGTTCTGACCAGTTCTGGAAAACCGGTAGCGGAAATTTTGAGTAGTTTGGAGAACCGGTAAATACCACCTCTGCCTGGCCCCGCCCCCATCTATTCTCTGCCTCCCGAATCCCATCTGATCGGGAGGAAATGGGGATTTTGCAGTAACCTTCCCCTGCCATGCCCACCAAGCCACGCCCACCAAGCCATGCCCACAGAACCGGTAGTAAAAAAAATTGAACCCCACCACTGATTAAGACCAATCCCTATCATGTTGGAGAATTATGGCAGATGTTTTAAATATTCATAATTATTGATACTCTTCACCACATGTTATGTACCCTGTGCATTTTCTTGATAACCAGTTGTACCCCATTGGACTAGAAAAAATAGGGCAAGAGTTTTCTTTGGCCATATTCCAAACTAATCCTTTAGTATAAAGGATTGAGACTTTAAGGATGAGCGAGGATACACTCCCAGTGACTCTAGGTACTGATTGGGAAATTGTTGTCTCTGGGCTGCATGCACCACTAAGTCCTTCTTTGTTTCCCAGCATCTATTGGGGAACAACAACAAAAAAAGTTGTTGGCAACTACGGAGACTTTGCCCAGCATTTCTCACCAGACACTTATTAAGAAAAAAAAGAGTTAAAATTTAAAGGGATGTCAGCAACAGCTCTAGCAGGCTTTCCCAGCTCCATAAATTACTGCATTGAGCCAATGATGCTGCATGGTAAAGGAGGTTGAATGCACTGTCACTTTTCTATTAGTAAAACAGAACAGTAATGTAATATAAATAGAGTGGCCTTCTTTTGTTTTTTTGCTTATACTACATCCATTCAAACAAACACAGAAGAAATGTAGTTAAAACAGTTCAGGCTGTAAAGATGAATCCACAGCCATCTGTGATAACTCTATAATTTTTATTTTGGGATATTTTCTGGCCAAAGAGTGCTGGTTGTTTCTGGATAATACGGAAAAACATTTTCCAGACATTGCTGATAATACTGTTGTATATGTGTGAATGTATTGGAATATATTGGAAAAGCAGCTACAGGAAGCTTCGGGGCTCTGTCAAATCTTTATATATAGTGTCTAGCATTACATACAAGTACACGAAAAAGGGAGGAATAATGCACTCAAGAATATTCACAAAATTTTACACAGTAATTTGATTGGCTTGCACACTGTGCCAAGCTACACTTTCTATAATCATAGTTTACTTAATAAACTACAATCCACATAACATACAAACCCATTAACTTATAATTGCAACATTATCAGCTACTTCTAGTCAGTGCTTCCTGCTCTGGGTGCCCTCCTGTTATAGGGACTCCAGTATCAAGAATTCTCATCAAAGTTCATCCTGGGTAGGGAAATTCACTAATCTACAAGATGCCCCCATTGGGTAAGGGTAAATACAACAAACATTTTTATATGTGATTGCAATTTTTGAATTTAGCCAGGTCCGGGCTTTGCAGAAATCCATGCAAGGATTTTTGTGCTGTTATTACAATTTAAATTGAAAGAAACATACATAAAAATGGTGTCTGACCATTCTGCAAATTACTTACTAGGTCGGCACTTAAAGGAGACTAGGAGATATTTAGTGACTCCTGGACATAACTCAGATCCAAAAAGTCGACTGTTAACAAGGAGTTGGCAGTCTCTCAGGTCCTGGCATTCATCAAGGACTTTCTACAACAGTGACCAAAAAAAAAAAAAAAAAGTCTTAAAAGAAACTTTAATGAACTATACAACAATGCAAATCCTGACTATTTAAGATCTATCATGACAAACTTTACCCACTGATTAACAGTAATAAATTTATCCATTAGAATACAAAAATAAGATTTCCAAAGCAAATTATGTGAAATAATATTATTAACAAATCACTACCAGAAATGTTTCTATTCTAAATAAACTTAAATATAAGAAGCCTCAATTCAAATCTCCACTACAGGCTGTTTTATGAACACGAATTCTGGAAAAACAGGAAGCTGTAGTAATGTTAGAGTACCATTTCAGAAACTGTCATGGGAGAAGCAGTTTGAAGATTTACAATTCACTGAACTTGAAGTACATAATTAAACATTATGATCATAATTACTTTTGAAATTACCATTTTTAATTCTCCCCAACCCCACTAAATGAAGACACATTCAGCTACTAGTAAATGAAATTTATAATAAAAGCATAATGCATTTCTATCATACTTGGCTGTCCTAAATTAACTTCTAATGAAGGGCTGTTTAAAACTTCAAATATTTATATACTGTGGCTTTACTGCCATTATTAGCATTCAGAAGCAAAGTGCTTTTAACCACTTTCCTCAAATTTCTGGACGTAAATATCCTGAGCCAAAATATTTAAAATGGGCAAGGGATTATAATTTGCATGCAAACAAATAAAAGAGAACTGAGAAAACAATACATAGAGGAGAATTAAAGAAATGTCCACAGAACTACAATATAATGAAAATTACTATCTAATATTCTATATTTTTAATACAATCTAGCTACTGGAATATAAGAAGGGGAAAAGGGTTTAAAAGCTCCCTGGAGCTCCTGATGCAGAAAACAGGTGACAGTTTTCAACTAATTTTTAGGAGAAAAATATATTGAAACTGTAATATAAGTCCTAACAACCAACCATTCCTGGCATAACATATACAGATAGTCCTCGCCTTACGACTACAATTGAGCCCAGAATTTATGTTGCTAAATTTGTTAGTGTTGCCCCATTTTGTAACTTCGAATGGTCACTAAATGAACTGTTGTAAGTTGAGGACTACCTACATTTAACATACTGTAGTAGTTAAAATTTAAACTCTTCAAAACTCCCCACAATCTAGAAAAAAAATAGAAATATTGGCTTTGACAACTGAAGCTCCTAATCTCTTTCCATGGATCATGTGGTTCTATTAGAAGCTTGCCTGCATGTGTTGTGTGGCTCAACTTGTGCTTCTAATAGCCAAAAAATATTGTTTGTTGCATTTTATAAATGAGGATGCAATTCCTATGCTTCCTTATTAGACTTAAGGATCCTTCCACACCACCAGAATTCCCGTGCACAATCAGTTTCTCAAAAAGCAATGTGAAAGCAGGCCACAATTCCATCTATTTCAGTTCTGAAATAAAAGAACCAGCAAATAACATAAATCAGTCAATATTCACCTTCTTTCCTGCACCTGGCCAAAGGAAGAGTTCAAAGACTATAACTCAAATGATAGAATAGAATAGAATAGAATAACAGAGTTGGAAGGGACCTTAGAGGTCTAGTCCAACCCGCTGGCAGGAAATCCTACACCACTTCAGACAAATGGTTATCCAACATCTTCTTAAAAATTTCCAGTGTTGGAGCATTCACAACTTCTGCAGGCAAGTTGTTCCACTTATTAATTGTTCTAATTATCAGGAAATTTCTCCTTAGTTCTAAATTGCTTCTCTCCTTGATTAGTTTCTACCCATTGCTTCTTGTTCTATCCTCAGGTACCTTGAAGAATAGTTTGACTCCCTCTTCTTTGTGGCAACCCCTGAGATATTGGAACACTGCTATCATGTCTCCCCTTTCCTAGAGCTCTAATGACAAAAACCTTACACTAATTTCATATAAAAAGGAAACAGAATATAGGTAGTCCTCAATTTACAACAGTTAATTTAGTGACCGTTCAAAGTTACAATGCCACTGAAAAAAGTGACTTATAACCGTTTTTCACACTTACGACCATTGCAACATCCCCATGGTCATGTGATCAAAATTGGGGTGCTTGGCAATTGGTTCATATTTATGATGGTTGCAGTGCTCAAGCATGAAAATGGGTCTGAATGCTTATAGATTAAAATTCTCCTTCAGAGCTTCAGTGAAAAAGCATGTATATAAAGTGTTTATTCTGGAAAACAATACTCTAATTGGGATATTTTTCTATTTCAGAGAGCTTAAATAGAAATAATCAGATATGTTTCTAAAAATATCCTGGTGTATTTTGGAACAATTGGAAGTCTTTTAAATTAAAATAAAATCAGACAAATATTTTTCATTTCAGTCCAGTCAGAACACCAAGTACAGATGTGAATTCACTTTTTTTTAAAAAAAGCTGGATTTTCATAGGCTATTTTTCCACTGTTGCAAAGCAGCACTTATAAATCAAGCTTATGAAACTTCTAGCACATGGCACTATGATTCTCCTCTGATAACAATGATGAGCTTTTATTAAGTGTAAAATCATGGTGGTTTCTACCTTATCTTTTGTGGCTGCAAAGTTCTTTGATTAAGAACAATCACATTTATCACATTTATAGGAATATTCTATGCAAACATATTTGGACAAATGTTATCTTGACTATAATGTCCTTTACTTCTAAGAATGTATGTACAAGGACTGCAGTAGGTTGGCTAAATGCTGCATTTTACAAAATAGGAAAGACCAGAAGAAAGAAGTAGATGGGTCAGGACAAAAATGAACATACACTTATATATTTGTAATATAATCTGCCCAAATCAACCCACTGCAGGATGTGGATCTATACCACACTGACTCCCATACGCTTCATATTCCCATTCATTGTAAAAATAAAAATATGAAATACATTAAAAATGGAAAGATGGCATACTTAAAGGCAAATTACAACCCTTAAGCATCACCTTTATATCAAAGAAAGATTTTACTATACATTTGGCTCAAAATAGCTTCTTAGGAAGAAGATTACGGGTGGTTGGAGTGATTTGTTTGGCTGTGTTACTTAGCCAGGAATAGGATTTAAGAAAGCAGTGACATATAGACTGTATACCAGCAAAAATATGGTGGAGATTTCTACTTAGCAGTAAGAGCAGACTATATTTATCATGATTCAAGTACTGCATACTGAGTGTGCATTATTACTAAAGCAAAATAAAAACGATTAACTATAATAGTAATCCTAAATAAATTATCAGGACTTCATTTCATGTTCATGTTGTTCAATTTTTATATTCAAATCTAGTTTGTAACTAAAGTGTTATATCTTGTTTCTTTTTCTTCTTTTGAAATCCATCAAAATAGTACTAAGACAAATATGGATTGCATATGCAGAAAGGCTGGTTTACCTGCTTATAGCAGAATAGTACTCCCCAACAATGTGTGTGTGTATGTTGTGTGTGTGTAATTTTATTCCCTTTTATTGAATGAATCCTAGATGTGAAATGTTATATCCTTTCATATTGTACCTCCAAAAATTTTGGAATTCTGTGGTAACTAGAATAATGCTCAAATATCTTATTATTTCTCCATTTAATACAGCAGGATAAAACACAGAATAAAATGCAGAACCAGAACCAAAACCAGTGAATTTGCTTCTAAACTCAGTCTGGAATATGAAGCTTCAACCTACAATCCTATCTGCTTTGCATCCTCTACAGTTCAGTGGTATGTATTTATGGGGATTGAATGAATACAATGGGAACTCATGTGTAAATATGCCAATTAGGAGGACTAAAGAGCCTATTGTGTAGTGTACATTTAAGTCTAACCACTTTTTTGTCCAGGAAAAGACTTTCCTATTCTTTATGTTGCTATTTCTAAGTTATTCTATAAGGAAATAATTCTTGCTTTAGAAGAGGGCAGCATTAGCCACATTCCCAGAAAACGTACAGTAAATATAATTTGCCAATATATGATGAAGTGACTGGGCTGTAGCATTATTATGGCTTGGAACATAAAAATGCTCTACAATTTTATTTTCATAGCTACAAGAAGGCAGCCAAAAATGCCAAAGGTGAGAAATCAGAAAATCTCTGTATGGATCCTCTGAATTGTTAGCCTAGTACTAAACAGTCTTGCTACAAAATTGGCTGATTGATATTTCAATATTCTTATTATTGGTAGTATTCCATTATCTTATCAATACTATGTTATACATTATGTGGCTGATTGAAAATCTGGAGCCAGAATTTTTCTGTTGGCAATATAAATTTAAGTCTTTCAGGAAACTCCACTGACCTAAACTAATGCCAAGACAATTCTGACAAAACTAGTGGATTGGCACAAATTAACATTGGACCATTGGTCATGAATCTTAATAGACATTCACATTGTTGGATGGTCTTTTGTCCCAATCTGCTTGGCAAGAGAGGAATTCAGACAGCTCATTCAGCAACTCAGTCTGCAACAACTCTTCCCACCTCCCAAACTGGATTGCTTTTCCGATGATGAGACCCTGCTCCAATGCATTCTTGAATAGCTTGTGCCACTCTACTTCAAATTTCAGCCAGTTTCATTTTAAAAATTATGGACTTTAAAATGTGAATGTCATTTTATAATTTTTGAAGAATCAAATATCAGCCTTAAAAGTACTCAGATTTATTCTCTGTATCAATATGGACAAACTTTTTATTCTGAAGGGACAAAATTATGAAGAAATGTCACCTGACAAGGCCTCATAATTATACATTGTAAATCCTCCAGCAAATTGAACCGACTCATCTGCAAACTTAATCAAGCTTTATGACTGATATTCCAGATGTAACATGCTGAATCTTTATTCATTTCGTTTTTAATCTACTGTAAATAAATTATCTAAAATATTTCTGATTTGTTTTAAATGCTACAATATAGTATTTTATACCTGCAAGGTAGTAGATGCCACACAGTTTAGTGGCTCTTTCACCATGACTTCAGGTTGTTGTGCACTACACAAGTGGTAAGCTTGCCCATAATATGCAGATTGGACACTTATTGTTGAATGCCGAGGACACCGTAGACTCAAATGATCACCGTCACAGGCATACACAGTATGGTTTCGCAGGAGTTTGGTTAGGTAACCTAAAAAAATATTTAACTGTGTTACATTTAGTGAAGCAATATTCCTTTCTCCTTTAAATTTGAATTATAATGATCAATAACTTTTGGCTTGATTAATAGTTTGGGATGCTAGTAAAGATCTACTTATCTTTAAAACAAATCAATGCCAGAATAAAATTTGCTGTTGCCATTGCTAATCTCTGTTCTCTTCAACTATGTCTTCTTCAAGTCCTAATAAATAGTGTTACTGCGTAGGTCTCAAGAGAAGTTGTCCCTTTTATGATTGTGTACATGACTAGGTCCCCTAACAGTGGGAGAAATGAATTCATTATCTGCCGGGCTACTACAGTGATTGAAAGTGACAAATGTAGAGGAAACTGATAAACACAAATACATCTCATCTGCTGTATTTCCTCTAACTTGCTGGAAACCTGGGGAGATTGTGTCAAAAACAGAAAGGGGGAGAAAATATGATGTTTTAACCAGGAACTCAAGAATGAAAATTCTGATGGAGAAGGCAAACGGCTGAGATGGAGACTGGCTAGTGAAGAGAAAAGACACTTTGCCCACATTTTCCCATACATTCAAATCTTACCACAAAGCAACTACCACCATTATTTGCTCAATTGTCCCCCCCTTTTTTTTCCTTTTTACTGGGAGGTGTTGAAGAGGAGCGAATCCACCATCACCACACTTACAGAAAAAGCAGAGCTAAAAGATGAAGGATAAACAAACTGGCAGAGGTAACTGTTTATGCTCAGTGTAGAGTTGCCTGTATTGGAACGGAACAGAACAGAACAGGTGAAACCAGTTTTGTCTGCTACTCAGAGTGAGCAAGAAATAGGAGGTAGGAGTAGACAGAGCCTTCTTTTCAACTTCAAGGAGGAAATAAGGAAAGTCCCAGAGAAGTGGAGTTCAGAAAAGGAAGCAATGAAACTGGGAGAGGGAAAAAGATTTCAGGGGCTTTGTGGCTGGAAGATTGCTTGCTGTTTTCCAGCAGTTTTTGCAGTGAAGAGAAAAATAAAAATAATTATTTGCTGCTTCATGCTGCTTTTCTTGCAAGTGTGTAGTCTTCTTCTGCAAAGATGTATTTTGTTTATCTGTAATCACAGCCTTTGAGGGACTGCAAGTTGCATCTCCATAGGACACTGAAGAATGTGGGCCTACATCTAAGTTAATTTGGTTTCTTATCTGTTCAGAACAAAATGTTCCTGTGCATAAATCAGCCCAGTATTCTCTTGAGGATATTAACTATGCAGACTTTTGAATGAGTTTCTGAGCATTTTAGCTGCTACTTTGATCTGCACATTCCTGTCCCTGTATCTAAGTTCTTTTTACCATCAATTTCATTATTCAGTGGCTCCATGAATAGTACAATAACATTTACTTTGTAAGACAAAAATGAAAAAATACCAATTATTCAATAGAAATTTTATCCCTTGAAGTGTCATTTAAAATGAAAGTCATATTATTGCCATATGTGCACCATGAAGGATGAAAATAGTTATGGGATTTTGCTGTTTCCATTTGATAAGGAAACTTAGTGTACTGTTATGTAGACTGCTTCCTTTCAGGCCATACTGTCTCCAGAGACACTAATAATTTACATACACCCATCTCTTCTTTATTTTTCATTTGGATTGATATAAAGATATCAAACGGTAGCTACTTTCCTTGCCTAGAATTAAGACAGCGGAGTTCAGAGAACTCAAAATTATTTAGAGTTTTTAGATTTATTTCATTTTTTGAATCCATTCTGATTACTTTGTTTTGGTGAGATATTAAACATTCTTGCAATACGTGGGGTGGAAAGTAAGATAGGAATATGCTGCTGAAAATATGGGGCCAGAAATTAAAATATCCTACCTAGGGAGGTTGTATAAAGCGAGGAATACTGAAGTCTCCTATTCATAATTATCCAAAATTAAACCTCAGATGTTTCTTTGGTTTCCACCTCAACAGCTTTCGGCTTTTTTCATCTTGAAGTTAAATTTCTAATATGAAGCCAATAAAACCTATAGATGTTTACTTCAAGTTAAGGAGAAACAAAGGATCTTATCCTGGAGTCCTCTTTTAGTTATGGCTTATAGCTATATTTAATCAGGATAAAAACAAGCCCCAACAGAAAATCACTTAAACTGAAATCTTGGATTTACACTGACTGCTGAGGTTCAGTAACTCTTAATACTGGTTGGTCCAGTCAGGTCCTGTTTCCTGGATCCATACCTGCAGGGGCTGTAAGAAATTTTCTGTAGATATTGCCAGAGAATTATCAGCTTCATACACACCCTCTTGCAAGCTTCATCTTTTGGCAAGGAAGACCATCCAACCAAAAAAAGAAAGAAAGAAAGAAAGAAAAAGAAAGAAAAGAAAAGAAAAAGAAAAATGCTTCAAATAGGCTGCAACTTTTGGTCTTTCTCATGTTGCCTTAGATCGTCACCATTATTCTAGTACCATTCTCTGAACAGTTATTTGGCAAAGCCAGTTTCTGCCACTACTCATGGAGCCCATGAATGAACACATGAACAACTGCTCTCTTTCCCCAGCTTTTAGCCAGATCAAGAGAGAAAGGACAAGCAGCTCATTCTTCCTTGGGCAGCTTTACTCTTCCTTGGGCACCATGTTAGGTTCAGTGACATTCTCAGTTTTTTGCTACTTGTAAGAAACCCTTTATTCAACAGAAAAAGCACACACAGTTTATCAAGATTCAGTCTATCTTCTGATTTCTCACACAAAATCAGAAAATACAGAACATTTAAACAGGCCTACTGGATACTTTACTACCAGAAAATTTCAAAAATAGAGAACTAGTGGCTCTTGGTATTGGGTTACACCTATAACAATGGATAGCAATGCATTTATATAGCCTCTTTTCTCTCATGAAATCAATGGAAGTAGGGTTGATCATTCCCCAGACGCAACCCCTCCATATTTTGTGCTAATCAATGGCAGTTTTAATGGCTCAACAGAATAGGTCATATGCAGGCTTTTCAAAAGATCTAGGCCATTTGCAACTCTTGACGCTCTTAGCAATAATACACATAGACAAATAAATGACAAATGTTTAAATTTAACTCTGAGTTCAGCTTCAGACCAATGCCAGATAACTCTCTTGCCCTCTATCCTGAGTCCAGCACAAACTTGAATATGGCTGTTTCTGTTTTAACAGTCATATTAACCTTAATTAATGATTTCTTAAAGCAACAGCATCTTTTTTCAGACTTGTGCAAAAGCCTGAAAAAAACCAGGATGCTTTAATGAGAGCAGCGAGATGCTGGGTATCCATGAGCTCAGAAATTATTGAATCCTTATTTAAGCATGCATAGCATTTGAAATAATATATGTATGAATTTTAAAGAATGAACATGAGCAAGTTAGGGTTCAAGATTTTGATTACTACATTAATGATACTTAATACCACTAGAAAATGTTTCTAAATAAAGATGTTGGATACTATAATATTTGTTTTTAACTAAGTATTTTTAGACCAAAACGATCTTTGCCTTCAGAAACGCAGTAAGGGATTAATTAAAGGATTATATTCTGAGCACATTTTTTTTCACAAAGCATGTGCTGAGTGACAAATAAGAAATACGCCTTTTGAAATCCCCTGATAATATCTTGGATATCTTCTACCTCCACAAACGCAATGAATAATAAGTATGAACAGTAGACCTGAATCTATTGTTAGAATGGAGAGCTCTGATTTTAATTGCTTAACCAACAATGATTCCCCTTCATATGGCACATTGAAGGCCACTTTCCAAACATGGGAGAACTGGCCCAATTTCCTGGAGAGTCATGGACAGAATTAAGGGGTGAAATAGGTGCTTTGTGACTCAGGAGGCCACAAAAGGCCCACAGACCCAATCTTTTATGTTTTTCACCTTCATCTAAATTATACTATTTGTCAGATGTAAATGCCTTATTCCCTAATGTGTAAATAATGTATATATGGGATATCAGGGGTTAACTTATTCTTTGATTCTTAATGTATTCATAATTCACCACTCCCACTCTTGGCTCCACCCTTTGTATATATAAGGAGCCACCTTCACCATTTTCTTTGCTTCTATCTGTGAATATTCAGTGAATATAGAATGCCTATTATAATTAAAGAGAAATATATTTAAACCTCTAACTCTTATTATTATTATTGAGTCTGATCCTGAAAATATTGCAACAAACTGGTAGCATAGGATGGTTAATTGACTCAATAAATACCTAAAAATGTCTAAGAAAGATAGGCCCAACACCAGGGCCTACAGCAAAGAAATAGAAACTGAACAAGAAAATAATCAACGAATCCACAAACGCGATTTCGAGAGAATCCGGAGAATACACCACTGAAGAAGAAGAATTAATAAATGAAAATGATGGCCAGGAGGAAATCGAAATAGAAAATAACGAACTCAGGTCAGAGATATTGAAGTTATTAAAAAGCCAGAGAAGAATGATGAAAGCCTCATCGCGAACCTCCAAGAAATGCTGAAGAACAGCGGAGCAGCGAGAGAGAAAAACATCGCTAAAGAGAAACCCAAAGACCAAAAAACTGTGAGTGATATGACTACAGAGAAAGTCGTTATGAAAAAGAAAAAATGTGATCCCGCGCGAAATTTTGAATGGCAGCCATCTTGGTTTCAACAAGCCTCCAAAGTGAGCGAAGCAGAGCCAATCAAAATGCTCAGTTCAAAATTTCTGGCGCGAAAAACGTTATCAGACTACGAAAGTAAAAAGGAGGATTCAAACTCTTCGGAAGAGCCAGAATCAGAAAGTGAAGACGACTTAACGAAATCCCAAGTAAAGTCAGCAATGAAGACGCTTTTTGCTGCATTTGGGCCAAAATTAAAAATTTCCAAAGCGCCAACGAAGAAGCAAGCGAACAAGCCGATACTTCAAGACCTGCACGCTCCCATCCTGACTTCGAGAGCGACGACGCCCGAGCCCAGAGAGCCATGTCGATTCCGCCCTACACCGCAGACCGAAGCAAGTGCCAACGCACCCAAAAGAAAGAGAAGAAC